ATGTACATATACAGAACTGAATGAGAGAGAATTGTTCTCATAGTAATTAGTAGTAGTACATTACAAACAGTTCCTTGATGGCACATCAAGAGACTGAACAGCTTCCATGTGAGGTGTCTGCATAAGATCTAGAAAATAAAGTGGGAAGACAGAATACTAAACACAGAGGTACTGAAGCATGCAGGATTGACACGTTTATAAAGCACTATCAAGAAGAGGAGGTTGCGATAGATTGGCCATGTCAGGAGAATGGGAGGAGAGCCTATCCCCCAAAATATTTTGTATAGCAAGATTTGAGATGGCTCTAGAAAGTGGGGTTGTCCTCTAAGGCAGTACTACTATATGTGCAAAAATTATATGAAGTCATTCAGCATCAACGTAGAAAGCTGGGAGAGCACACAGAAACCTGTCCAATTTGGAGGAAGCATCTGGCACTGGGTGCAGCTAAACATGAAGTGGCTTTCATCCAGAGGGAGGAAGCAAAGTGAGAGAGAAGTAAGCAGCATGCTGTAAACTTGGACTCCAACTCAGATAACATGTGGATCTGTGAAACTTGTAACAAGCTGTGTCACTCTCAAATTGGGCTTGTCAGCCACAAGTGGATTCATAACATGTCTGATTAGACCTCTTATATGTACATCATAATCCAGAGGATTGACAGTTGCCTCCTAGAAGCAGTCCTCTACAGGAAGCATATTCTTTGAAGAGTAGAGCAGTGCAAAATGACCTCCTGTTTGGGGTGTCAGTATGTTAATTTCACTGTGAACCACTGACATTGTCTGGAACCACATCTGCTCTACAAACCCCACCCCCTCAAATGAAAACAAACGACCCCTCACCCAAAACAAGGGCATTGCAAAAAAGCAAAGTGAGATTTTTATATACTTAGTATATTGATTTTAAATTACACTGAGGCTTCCTAGGAGTTGATCCAGATAATCTCTTCATAGCACAGAGACATATTTATGAAAGGAGACTTAACTAGGGTGTACATTTCTCCTTTTTGATTTGGCCACAAGTGTGAAGAATCTAACTTTATTTTGAACCTCTAAGTCAAATTCCCTTTTGCATTGTGAGATATGTTTGGAGCCATAAGGTGGAGAATGAATCAGTTCTAACTCTCTGAATGCCAATCCTCAGTGGTTTTAGCACCTGGCTCTGGTTTAGTGCAGAGCACTATATTTAATTGTCCTGTGCTGACATTGTGAGTGGTAACAAAGAAGGAAAGGAAGAAAACATTTGCTTTTTCAAAGACCAGTTGAATCTAATCCAATGTCTCAGGTACTAAAATGCTTTATAATCATATGAATCATAGTTGCATATCATCATGACAGAGTGGAATTAAAGTTGTTTGGGGGCCCAAATTGTGTACTTCCATAGCTAACATGTTGGCATTTCTTCTGAATATAACCATGCTTCTGATTTTTTTTGGGGGGGTTATTAATGCTTGACTTCGGGTTTATCATCAATATAATTTTTTACCCTTTAGTATTGTTCTGTTTTTCTCAATCATAAATCCATGAAAACATATTTTGGGGGGAATTTATATTAGGTTTAATTCATGCGTATCGAGGCAAACTTGAGTTTCCTGGAGTTCTGTTTTTTTCTGTGCAGCTATACCAAGAATGGCTTTGATCATTGTATAGCCAATGAATCCCTTGGAAGAATTCAATGCGTGCAACATAAGTGTAGTTAGTTTTGGATATTTGTCATGTTTTAATATTCTCTATAAGTTAAAATCTTGTAATAACTATACATTCTTAGTTTGCTATAACAGTTAAACACTTTATACTTGTTCAATACACTTGTTACATACTTTTCCAATTTACAACTGAATCCAGAACATTCATACTCAGGTTTTATTTAAAATATTATAACATTTAACTGTGTACTTATAGGCATTTTGAAATTTTGCATGAAAGGCTTTGGTTCTGATTCATGTCCAATTTCTGTACATGAGTAATACAAATAAGCAAATGTGCTACATGAAGAAACTCTGCCTGAACCAGTGCTCAAAATAATTAAACAGAAATTTATATAGATACAAAAGAGAGTTTCACTCACTGGTAATCTCTAGTATCCAAAAGTTCATGGGTATGTATTATATCCCACCGAGTAAAAATGGTGAATTACATCTAAATACAATATAATAACACACCTTGTAAATTCTGAGGAAAGTTGGTTGAAATATTTTATCTAGACTGTTTCTGAAAGAAAACTTAATTATTTTGATTAAATAAAATTATTTTGTTAAAAGCATATTTTCCTTGTAAAATATTTATATGTAATTTAAAAACCAAATGCTTAAAGCCCAAAACTTTTCAGTTTCTGGCTTAAGTATTTTGTCTTTTTTATATTTCATAGTAAATTTTCTATTGAATTATTTTATTTAAAAAATAGTTTTGGTTGAAATTCCCCGTGAAAAATAGCACAGCTTTGAGCCCTGTGGTGTAGCAATACCCCAGAAATGAACTTCGGGTAGAGGAAGAGGTATTTTGCTTAAGAGACAGAATTGGGACTAAGAATATCTGGTTTTCATTCTGCACTATGCTTCCTGTATGACTTTGGATGAGTCACTTTAGAGGCCAATCCTTTGAGATGCTTGGACTTGAGAGAATTTAGTAGGGCTGTGTGAAATGGAAGCGTTCCATTTCGACCAGCATTTTGACATTTCAACAGAATAGTGTTTTGTTTTGACTTTTGTTTTGAGTTGAAACGGCTGTTCCATTCCTTCGAAACGTTTTGCCGTTTCGACCCTATTTCGATGTTTCGCCCATAGGATATAATGGGGAAGGTCAAAACAGGCTATAACTTTGTCATTTCTGGCTGGATTTCAATAAAACTTGCAGAAATGGTAGCCCCTTCTGACCGTATGATGCATGCCAAGTTTCAAGAAGATAGGTGCAGGGAGTTCAGAGAAACTGCACCCCAAATTCCTGAGAGCAAAACATGTCACATGTATGTGTTAAGCCACAGTGGAGTAAAAACTTCCGGGACAGTGGCCCCTGCTGATTCCATAAAGCCTGCCAAGTTTCAAGGAGATAAGTGCAGAGGTTTGGGGGAAACTGCACCTCAAGATGCAGACAAGCAAAACTCGTGACATGGGTGCTTGTGCAACTGTGTCTGTCTTGGGGCACGGGGTGGGTGTGTGTGGAGGAGGGGAATTACTGCAGGCCTGGCTGCTAAGCTACTGTGCTACCAGTTACCAATTAATCATGATTCACTCAGGGACCAGCTCAATACACAGTACCTAGCCACTAGATAATGAGTTAACGAGCATGGATTAACACCTACAAAACCACAGACTAAGGAGAGGAAATAATCAATACAGACAATCAGCTGCCCCAAGACAGAGACAGTCAATTGCACAAGCACCCATATCATGAGTTTTGTCTGTCAGCAGCTAGGGGTGCAGGGCCCCAGAACCCCCCTGCACCAATCTCCTTGACAGCTGGCAGGCTTCAGTGGCTGCAGCAGGGCCCAGCAGTCAGGCCTGCAGTAGTTCCCACCACAATGTGCCCCAAAGCAAACACAGTTGCACAAGCACCCGTGACACGAGTTTTGCCTGCCTGTGGCCAGAGGTGCAGGTCCCCAGAACCCAGAACCTCTGCATCAATCTCCTTGACAGCTGGCAGGCTTTGTGGCCTCAGCAGGGGCTAGCAGGCCTGCAGTTTTTAACCCGCTGCACCTTAACACACAGTGTCATCCATGTCATGAGTTTTGCTTGTCCACAGCCTGAGGTGCGGTTTCCCCCAAACTCCTGTGCCTATCTCCTTGAAACTTGGCAGGCTTCATGGCCTCCACAGGGGCTAGCATGCCTGCAGTTTTGACCCCACTGTAGCTTAACACATACATATGACATGAGTTTTGCTTTCAGGATTTGGGGTGCAGTTTCTCTGAACCCCCTGCACCTACCTTCTTGAAACTTAGCACTCTCAATGTCCTCAGAAGGGGCTACCATTTCTGCAAGGTTTATCAAAATCTGGCCAGAAATAACAAAGTTATAGGCTGTTTCAATCTTCCCCATTATAGCCTATGGGTGAAACATCGTAACAGCATCGAAATGGTGAAACGTTTCAACTTACCTCATTTTGTTTCGAGGCTGTTTTGACCATATATGTTTCATTTCAATTTTGCTGTTTCAACCTTGAAACAGGTCGATACACTGTTGAAACAAAACTGGTGGCAAAATTTTGCACAGCCCTAGTATTTAGCATCTTGCAGGCTTGAGTTCTGTATGCTTTGTACCTCATGTTTCCCATTTTAAAATGGAGCTAATATATTTATTAAGGATGGGGGTTATTTTAGCTGAAATGCATTCAAGTTTGTAAAGTGGTTTGAGTGCTGTAGAATTGTGCACCATTTTACTTTGTCTGCTAAAACTTATATTTGTGCACAAGAAGGACCTAACTTTTAATTTTCAAGAATATGAATAGTTTCTTTAATGTACAAATCCCCTTCTTGCCATTTCAATAACCAGTTTTATACTGTCTTCTTTGAAGAAACAGTGCATTGTGATCTTGGTTATGAATGTTAACAGTGAATTTTATTAGAGTTGCATACTGTTTCAAAGCTTCCTCGCATGCATTTTTCATTTCTTTAGTTAATATAATTCCCATTTTGGAGGGTCAGATCCAGTACCCTGTACTCAGGCAAATCTCCCCTTGAAGTTAATGAAGGTTATCTCCAAGTGATTTCAATAGGGGATTTATGTAAACAACAAACTGAATATTCAATCTCGGTGGTAGTTACTCCAACAAAGAAGGGGGGAAATATATATAATTGAGATTAAAATTCCACTGTAGAAGGAAGATAAACTTGTTAAATGTCAAACACTTAACATGAGCAAAAATCCAATCAGAAGGTTATGTCCCTAACAATATACAGTGTCTATCCATCAGGGGCCATTTAAACATTTCCTGTTCCTGCAGTATTTTTTGACTGCTGGATTTACATATATGTAACTAATTTATAAACAGCTCAAGTTGTTTGTAATTTAGGCTTTGGAAACATCTCACCACGTACAGAAGGTGGAAAGATATTCTGTATCATCTATGCCTTACTGGGAATTCCTCTGTTTGGTTTTCTGTTGGCTGGAGTTGGAGATCAACTGGGAACCATATTTGGAAAAGGAATTGCCAAAGTTGAAGATACATTTGTTGTGAGTATTCTAAATATATATAGCCCTGGATGATACTTACTGCTCTAAATATAGCAAATTTGTTGAAAAAATAGAGGAAAATGGTTAAGAAAAGACCTGACTGTTAACGTTTGGCAAGAGTGTTTCAAAGGTCTCTGTAACTGAGCATGTTATCCAACTTTGTTGATTGTGAACTGGATGAAGTTCAAGATATTAAACCTTCAGATTTAGTTTCCTGCAGTAATTAAGGCTGGGAAGAGGAACAGGATCCAAATCAATCACATTTTCCTTTGTCCTTAAAATCCTCTAAACCGTTGTTTGCCATAAGATTTGTCATCACTAGGAGAAAGGAGTTTGTTTTAAAAAATGACAGCATTGAACCACATAGAAGGGAGTTATCACAGAGAGTTTGGGCTAGATACGAAATTGGAATCCTAATTTTAAAATTGTGATCTTCAAAACTCCACTCATCTTTTGCTTAATCCTAAAAAGACGTATATCCATAGATATTCTTTCTTTTTCAGATTTGTGTTCCCCATGTACTTAAAATTCCCAGAAGCACTTCAGACTTGGCCAGGGCTAAGATGTGTGGTACTCTTCTCACATCTAAACCCCATCAGACTGTCAGCTGTTCTGGGATGGGAGCATTTTCACTCTCTCCCATTGAAGCTATTTTATTTTGTACTAGTCTAGTGAGTCATGCTCTCTCTCTTTCTCTCTCTGTGCCAGAATGACTCTTTAATTACTCCATGAGAAAAAAAAGTCTTCAATATCAGGGGGCTGAAGAAGAGCCATTACAGAATAATCTATAATTTGGGTGTTAGGGCATATCACAGGAAGTAGGAGATATGGATCTGAAATCCCTCAAGCAAGGGAAACCTTTCAGGCACCCAAGTCTCCCATCTTCAAGCTGAGGTCTTTAAGCTGTTGTATAAAACAGGATGGCTACAGCATCAGCAACTATGTATTCTAAGATAGGACAGAATCCTATTTATTTGAGTTTTGCAAGAACAATCTTAAGTATTCAACTCTAGAAGAGAGTTACCATGTATGAATCCTGAGTGGTAGAGGGCACTAGTAGCTGCAGCCCAAAATAATACTCTAGAACCCTGGAGGGTCCTATGAGTTCCCTTTTGTGAATCCTTTTCTGGGCTCCTAACTTTTCCCATACATTGTATAGGGAGCCTACTGCCTTAGAGCTGTGGGATTTTGTTATAGGATATGAAACCTAAGAATTTGGCATGGTTTCACTGATTCTTGATGTGGCTGAGGCTTTCCTCCTGTTTATGCATAACTTTACTGAGAACTGGATTCATGTTCAGGTCAATAGGATTGCTCACATGTGTAAGGTTACTCACATGCAGAATGGATTGAAATCTGAGTGAGTTACCCCTGTTTGTGTCGGCCTTTCATCTACAGTAGCAACAGGGCAGAAAAAATGTCCTTTAAAGAACAGGAAAATGTGAGATTGAAACATTTGGGAGGAAAAAAACCACTGGTGCAATTGCCAATCTTAAACATTCAAGACCCATTACCAGGGATCTTGGTTTTCTCTGATTAAAAAAAAAATCCCCAATTTTTTAATTAAAAAAAGGAACCCAAAATCAACATTTTTCCATGATTCAAGTGAAACACCATAAATAAATAAATACATAAATACTGATGTTTCAGCTGAATCCTGGAAAAATGTGGATTTTGGGTTACCTTTTTATATCCAAAAATTGGGATTTTTTTTAAATCAGAGAAAGCCAGGATCCCTGGTTATTATTAATACACTTTTAACTTGGCTTTAATAAATTAAGATTGTTGCAATCTTACATGATTCTGTTCTTTAAAATATATATATATTTGTGCTGTTGCTACTCAGTCTATGCACACAGGCTTACATGTCTAAAATGTAAAGAAAGGGCAAGAAAATAGCTAGGGCTTTGGCTAGAAAACTCCCATTTAGCTGTAAAGAAAATAGAATTCTACTCTTTCAGACAAGTAAGGGGAATAAAAGATCAGAGTCTTTTTGTTCAAAGCTGTCAGTTCAACCATAGACAGGTTATTGGTGACCAACAGCCATTCACATTCAGACTTGGTTGAAATATTAGAAGATTCCATGAGTATTTAGTTATCCATTCCACTTCTATTTTTCTTCAAACTCCATAAAACTCTATAAAATTATTGCTGCTGCAGAATATCAATGTTTTAAAATTTATGATCAGGTCTATGTGCATCTACTGGCTAGTTGTTTTCCTATGTGGAAGGGCCCTGCACTCTTGCTTTGTTTTCCAAATGGATAGGTATCTATATCAGGGGTGGGTAAAATACGGCCTATGGTGGGTCTTTGTCCAGCCTACAGCAGGTCCTTTGGTCCCACCTAATCCAGCACTGCCTGCCCATGGTGCATCCTACACACACTTGGCATGCAGCAGGGCTGGGGCAGCTCTGCAGCTGGACTGCCTTCCTAGGCAGTCAAGGCAGTGGCTCCTTCCGGCCACTGCTGCTGTTGGCCCCAGCCCTGTGGTACCAGTGGGGACCTGTGCTGCACAGCCCTGACCTCACGCACCCTGCACCTGTTCTGGGTTTACCTGCCCAGGCTAAGCAGCGGCAGTGTAGGACAGATGCTGTTGCTCAGCATGGGAGAAAAGCAGCCCCAGCCCCTCCCACTGCTGGCCATTCTCACTGCAGCCTGTGCTGGGCTGCCTTGCGGCTCCTCTGCACTGCCACTGCTGCCCCACTGGGCAGCCCAGAGGTGGCAGTGATGGTGGTGTAGATGCAGGGCAGCCTGGTTTGAGCTCTGGGCGGCTGCAGAAGGAATGGCTGGCAGTGGGAGGGGAAGGGGCCGCTTTTCCTCCAAGCTGAGCAACAACTTCTGTCCTGCGCCATTGCTGCTCAGCCTGGGCAGGTGAGCCTGGAGCAGGTGCAGATCATGCAGAGTCAGAACTGTACAGCGTGGGTCCTCACCAGTACCATGGGGCTGGAGCCATTGGTGGTGGCAGCCAGAAAAAGCCACCATCACCTGGGTGGCCTAGAAAGGCAGTCCAGTTGCAAAGCTACCCCAGCCCTGCTGCATGCCTGGCAGCAGCAGGACATCCCATAGGCAGGCAGTGTGGGTCGGGGCTGTGCCCTGGTTCCAGTTGATCTGACTTGGCAGGGCTGAGTCTGAAGCGGGTGTGGGGCAGGCTGGGGCTTTGCACTGCTGACAGTAGTGGGCACACCTCGCAGGGTGTGTGGGCTTCGGGCTGTTGCAGGGCAGGAGTGGGTGCTGACCAGCTCAAGGAGTTATGTGTTGGGGGCTCCCATGTACACCCTACCATACCCACAAACCTTCCCCTGCAAACCCACAACCACATGCTCCCCCACGCACAATCACAGCAAAAAAACACTGCAGCCACCTGTACCCTTCCCCACACAACCCCCACACCCCTCCCCACATGCACCCCCTGCCACACACCCTGTGCCTCTGGTGGGAGCTCCGCTTACTGCTACACACACACACACCCTACCACACACATGCAACCCCAGCTACACTCCCTCTCCACACACCCCACAGCCCCCACAAACCCCATACCCACCCACACACACACCCACACATCCCCACAAACACTCCCCTGCACAAACCCCCCATACCCATAAAACCACATCCACACATACCCCCACACCCTACATACACACACACACACACACACACACACACACACACCCCCCCACAAACTCCATATCCCCCCACACTCTCCCACAATATAGAAAAGTAAGACTTCATTTTGAGCTATTATGCAATCCCCTCTATATATACCACTCAATCACACACAAATCAGGACAAAAATAGGTTTAAAAATAAAATGATATGTTATTGTCAGTGTTTGATTTTTAGTATACATATATTTTTTTCCGGTTTCAAAATGGCAAAACCCATTCCCAAAAGGAATACTTCTGGGGGAAAGGGGAGGGACTTCTGGTTGCAATGGTCAGGTCCCAAGATGGCTACCAGGGTGTGGGGCACTTGTCAAGGGACAAGTGGCCCTCAACAGCTTGTTAAGCAGCCCTCCACCCAAAATAATTGCTCTGATCTATCTGATGAAAACCCCAGTCTAAGTAGCATCAGTTTGTTCCCTTCTTGGCAGTCTGTTTGGCAATCTTAACTTTAAAGAACAGATTCTAAATAATTTTCTCATTCTTAGATTTAGTTCTCCAAAAAGAGACTGAGAGATGTGGCTAGACCAGCATAAGGAATTTTATATTAATATTCTCCAGCCTGTGCCTGTGTTTCAAATGACAGGGAAAAAATATAACAACAGGCCCATCGTTAACTCGTTAAGCACTTTGCTGATTTCATTGATTGTACATAAAGTAAGCTTTAAAAATTCTATTGTCTTTAGCTAAATACCTGGTTTGTGGGTGTAATCAGATGGGTAAAATGCATCATTTTTATTCACAGTTGTTAACAAGCACAAAGATAATAGATGTATTTAATTGCAAGAGAAAATAGCAGCCACAAAATTAAAGGGTGACTGAGGGCCATTAAAATTTTTAATTCAGCCTGTCAAACTTTTGTATGATTAATTTGCTTATCAATTAATATCAGGGAGTGGAATAAATGCTATCCATTGAGACTGAAAGAAAATCGTATAGTACTTACAGTTCAACATTACTCAACATTGATTGTTTGCAAATGTTTCACAGAATATTGACATTTGGTTTGAAAAGCTGTTTCCCTGGAAGACTCAGAATGACAGTATTCTATCTCCTAGGATATCACTGCAGGTTATAGATGCTCATGTACAATGACACAACTTTATTAACAGTGGATATTCTTTCTTTCCCCTCCCACCTTGCTTTCTTTCATAGAAATGGAATGTGAGTCAGACAAAGATTCGCATCATATCAACAATAATATTTATATTGTTTGGCTGCGTACTGTTTGTTGCTCTTCCTGCGGTTATATTCAAGCACATAGAAGACTGGGACACACTAGATGCAATTTATTTTGTAGTTATCACTTTAACTACCATTGGATTTGGTGACTATGTTGCAGGTAAGTTTTTGTCATAATATTGTATCTCACCCTGAATCCATAAAATGTTATATGGAATTTTCAATAATGATAAATAATAACACTTTTGTTTATAACCTAATCAGTTTGTAGGTAATAGGTAAATAATACAAAGGCAAGATTTTAGCAAAGAGTTTGAAGCTATCTGAAGTTCTGCTTGACAGGTTTACAAGGCATAGGTAGGCAGTGTTAAAATTATAATTATTTGCAAGAAAAGAATGTTCTTAATTTATTTATCATAAATAACTTATTCCTGTGTAGGCTGCAGGAAGTGTAAAAGAATGTCCCTGCAATTAAAACTCTGGACAGATGTGATTCAATCAATAGGTACTATTTATCTTGTGAACTCAGGCTGGGGTCCTGTGGAAAAAACAGACTGCTCGTATAATGAAAGACTGTCATCATACATACCATGGTGGAGCACAACTGGGGTGCTTGCCACTTAGTGTGGGATGCATCAGTCTGGAGAAGTGCCTGCAAGGAGGGCAGCTGGAAGACACCCCTGAGTAGTCATTTTAAGGAGGAAAGTGTATGGCAGAGCACCAGCCCTTTGATATCAAGGTGCACAAAGGGCAACCTTCCATCTAAATAACATCCTAATTATTTAACAACAAGGCATGGCAGGAGAGTAAGGTGGGCGGTGTGCCCAAAGTCAGGTGGGTGGGCTGGCACTGTAACCAGGCCCTGGAGTTTGCCCCCTGTCACATATATACAAGGGGGACAAATTACGGTTGCAATCTTACTTTTTGAGTATTTGATCTGTCAGCCTTAAAACCCTCCAAGGATGAAGATTCCTCCATTCTCTCCGGGGCGCAGGGCCCCAGAACCCCCCCTGCACCTACCTTCTTAATGGCTGGTAGGCTTCATGGCCACAGCAGGGCCTAGCAGCCAGGCCTGCAGTAGTTTCCCCCCCCACCCCACTGTGCCCCAAGACAGACACAGTTGCAAAAGCACCCATGACATGAGTTTTGCCTGTCAGCAGCTAGAGTTGCAGGGTCCCAGAACCCAGAAGCCCCTGCACCTATCTCCTTGAAAACTGGCAGACTTTGTGGCCTCAGCAGGGGCTAGCAGGCCTGCAGCTTTCACCCTGCTGCACCTTAACACACACAATGTCACTCATATCAGTAGTTTTGCTTGTCCGCAGCTTGAGGTACAGTTTCCCAGAAACCCCTGCACCTATGTCCTTGAAAGATGGCAGACTTTGTGGCCTCATCAAGAGCTACCACCCCTGCAGTTTTCACCCCACTGTGGCTTAACACACACACGTGACATGAATTTTGCTTTCAGGACTTTGAGGTGCAGTTTCCCAGAAATCCCTGTACCTATCACCTTGAAGCTTGGCAGGTGTCATGCCCTCAGTACAGGCTACCACCCCTGGAAGTTTCATCTGAATCAGCCAAAAGACAATAAAGTTATAGTTATTTCATTGATTCCCCATTATACCCTATGGCCAAATCTCTGAATCACTGAATCTTTTCTGAATCTAGTCAGAAGCTCCAAATCGATTCAGAAAGCCTAAAGCTTCCAGTGATTCTATTTGGATTTATGGGTTCAGCCTCCGAATCATCCAAATCATCTCTAAATCCAAATTGTGATCTGAAGCTTTGCACAGCCCTATTTTCTATCTATCTATCTATCTATCTATCTATCTATCTATTAGTGGTGTTTCATTTGAATCACTAATATATAGATATTGAATATACATATATATCTATCTATATATTAGTGGTGTTTCATTTGAATCATGGAAAAATGTGGATTTTGGGTTACTTTTTTTATATCTGAAAATTGAGGTTTGTTTTTTAAATCAGAGAAAACCAAGATCTGTGGTGATGATATTCAGAAAGCATTTGATGCAGATTATAGCTGTAGAATATACACGGCATCAAATGAGCAATTGGTCCAGTCAGGAAGAAAACAGTTCTACTGAAAGATTTAAATAGAAATATCACTGATAAACAAAAACAAGTTGAGTGTTGAATTGAACCCTATGGAATTCTATACTCCAGTGAGACTGAAATTAAAGACAAAGAGCTTGAAGGATTACCACAGTTTGAAATTATGATGGATTTGGACAATGAGCCTACATTAGAAGATTTGTAGAAAGCCATTAAATCGATTCCGGGGAACAAGGCATCTGGCAACGACTGCTTCCCCACTGAAATCTACAAATGTGCCAGTGATGAACTACTTCAAAAGCTCCATAAGTGAAGTTATACTACTCTTAAGTGGTGGCACAAGATTTCAAAGATGCTTGGTTTGTACAATTATACAAATGGGGGATAGAAGCAGTTGTGACAACCATAGAGT